AGATAAATCTGCAAGTCATCCGCATAGAAGAGGTATGAAACCTCATGTCCACGGAGCACATCTTTCAGATCGCCGACATACAGGCAAAACAAGAGCGGTCCCAGCACCGAGCCCTGTGGAACCCCCAGATTCGTCTCCCGCCACTCCGAGCCCCCACCCCCAGCAGTAACCCTTTGCGAACGACCACCGAGGTAGGACCTCAGCCATTTGAGAGCAGAACCAGAAAAACCAAGAGCACGGAGCTTGCGCAAAAGTCTCGAGGGTGATATGGTGTCAAACGCCTTGCTGAAATCGAATAACAGCAAGAGCATCATCATCCTTTTGTCAACGCCCATTCGGATGTCATCCGTCAACTTTAATAACGCTGTCTGAGTACTGTGGCCCCGCCTAAAGCCGGCCTGGAGGGGATCAAAAAGATTTTCTCTATTCAGATACTCCGTGATCTGGTCATGGGCAAGCTTCTCGAGAACCTTTGAAAGAAAGCAAAGCAAAGCTATCGGACGAAAGTCCGAGGCCGAGGAAGGGGTGTTGTTCTTCCTCAAGGCAATCAGCTGTGCCCGCTTCCAGGCTCCCGGGAACTCCCCCTTAGCAAATGAGGAATTAAATATTAACCTCAGGTGCTCACCTATGACTGGAAGAGCCTTCACCACCACCCCATGGGGAATCCCGTCCACGCCGCTCGATTGTGATGTAAAATGGGAGACAGCTAGGATGACGTCATCGATGCCAACAGGTTTGAAGGTAAAACCTCGCTCATCCGCGACATCAACTCCAATCATCCCACTATCTATATCCTCAAGCGGCGAGGCCGAAACCCCAGCGAAGTGGTCATTCAGCTCGTCCAAGGTAAACCCATGAAGGCCATCCCCACCCACCCCTGGCAAGAGGCCGAGGTTCCGCATTTCCTTCCAAATATTTTTACCTTCATCAAGAGCGCTAGACAGATGATTTTGAAGGAAATTAACGCGCTCCTGTTCCAAACGAACCTCGACCTCCTTGCTAAGCCTAAGAGACTCCTCTAAGACATCCGCCCGCCCGGTACGCTTATAGCGTCTTCGCGAGGCATCACGTCTGTCGACAAGCCTCCTCAGCTCTGGACCAAACCAAGGAGCATACTTTTTCCTAAGGCATATTGTCTTCTCAGGTGCAAATTTATTTATGGCCTCAGTTAAATTATGGTTGAGGCATTCCAGCGCTCCCTCCAAATCCGACTCAGCAGCGCCAACAGATGCCCAATCGCAGCGTGTCAAGAAGTCTAAAAGCATATCCGGGCGAATGCCACGAAAGCTGCGATAGGTAAAGCTACCCGCCGAAGGAGAAGGCACACGGATGTCAATCATGACCTCTATAATCGCGTGCTTACCGAATTCGGGGAGCAATTCGTTCTTCTGGTCCGTGATCGTGTCGCATGCGTCGGTCAGCATGATATCAATCCATGTGTGGGAATCACCCACGTGATGAGTCGGGCCATGCCGAACCAAACTCAGCGACAACTCCCCACCCAAACGCCCGATGGAGAGAGCATCATCCGAGCCCGAACTCATATCGGCATTAAGATCACCTATGATGATCTTATGACTGAAATCACCACAGAGATCCCTCAACACCTCAAAAAGATCCGAGCCCTGCTGCAAGGGCACCTTAGGCGGACGATAGATGACGCCTATAAGCACCGGAGGAGAATTGCCCGTCTCAATACTGCAAAACAGGTACTCTGGTATTCCCGGTTTCCCAGGCCCTTGAGTGGTGGATGAAGCCAGCTTTGTAATTTTAAATTCTTCACGTATGAAGAGGGTAACACCGCCCCCATTAATGTTGCGATCGCTTCTTATCACCGAGTACCCCGGAACCCGTATGATGTGATCATCAACCACAGGTCCCAGCCAGGTCTCAGCAACCCCAAAAACATGATAGATGGCATCCCCAGCCAGAAACAGACGAAGCCTCTCAACACGCGCTCTAAGCGAGTTAATGTTGAGAAACCCAGCCCTGAGGAAACCACCGCGACATGCAACATCTTTGGTGCTCACCGTCCCGAGTCATGCCATTTGCGAGTTGACATCAGTGCCCTCTCTGATCCGCTGCATGCTCTCTCCTCCCGATGGCGTAGCGCCCCTCGAGTCGGTGCTCAACTCCGCTGACGACTGCGACCCGCCAGTCGACTCCCACGCCGACCTAATCGCCTGCAGATCCGCTGCTCTCGAACGCGTACGCCCTCTCTCCTGTCCTTCGTCGGACCAGAAATCTCCCACCACTGTGTCACACATACCTGAAGCCAAGCCCCTTTGCTACCGGCTTCAGGGTTAGGAATGTTTTAAATTGAGCTTGGGGCAGGAGTTCATTAATAAATAATTTCCTCCGTGGCACCTTGGCAGACAACTCCGGCCCGAGAAGGTCCTTGTCTAGGTCCTCAGTCGTAATACAAGCACGGGGCATGCCACGCTTCGCCTTCATTATATCGCGCAAAAGTCCCTCGTCTCTGACCCCTACAATGCAGGAGGGCTGGGATAACCCTGCTCTCCGTTGTCCCTCCTGACTCACCGCCCCCGCACCTACAGCGCCCTCAGCTGGCCGGCGACGAGGCCGCGAGACCCTAACCCCCGTAACGCCCTCTGGCGTCACCGAAGGCAGAACGACCTTCAGGGCCGCAAGAGCCAGCCCACGCAAGCCATCAGGGGAAACGTTGGACGCTTCGTCCAGAAGGCCATGTAGTATGACCTCATGGCCTTCAGCGCCTCCACTTTGTGGTAACGAAACCCCCTCCAGCACACCAGACCGCACTGCGTCCCCTTCCAGGTTCAAAGCGGCACCTCTGGAGCTTGAAGCGGGTGTTACATTGATAACCCCTTTGTCAATGCTGGCTTTGGCCTTGTCATGATTAACGTTCTTTGGGCTGCATTTTATGTTGGTGACCCGGCAAGCACACCGGACATCACCAGACCTGGTACATGCTTGTTTTAATCTTTCTTCTAGAGAGCGGTTGCTCTCCAGAAGAGTACCGCATAATTTTTGCAGGTCTTTGACCATCGAGGACTGATCTCGGATCATGCCCTCTAGTGTTGCAATGCGCCCTTCACCGGTAATCTCTCCTTCAGTCACAGGTAATGTGGTGACCATAGAAGCATTTTCCAGTTCCGGATGCCGCTTCACAAGGGCCTTTACTTCATCGACTTGTCGCTCGATGGTATCGAAACGCTGGAATAATAATTCCAGGGTGCTTACCGGAATCAGTATATTATTAATACTTGGCAGCTCCGGCGTCCCTAGGAAGTGCTCATCTACACTTTTGTGCGCATCGTTCTTGTTTGTCACTTCCGCGTTAACACTCTGGTCAAATCCAGGCGCCTGTATAGCGGCAACAGGTTCTGACACACCTTGAATTTCGGTAGGCGCCCTGTCACCTGCAACCAACCGAACTGTCGTCTGCTTATCGCCAGCCGGTCGACTCGGCGGGCGAGGTGTTCGTTTCGGCGATAGGCCACGCCCCATCGTAGGTGAGGGCATAGATAGAGCGCACGAGCGACGATGGACTGGTACGCTCATGTTGGTGTTTGCACGCAGCTTGCTCACCTGATTTTTCGCTGACGATGGGATTGGCGCGACACTCATGTTTCCATCCGCTGATTTTCGAGTAGCCGATTTGCGCGCTGCGATGCTCGACGTTGCTGTTGTTGTTGCTGGCTTCGACGGGTCAGTTCGGCAGTTGTCACAGGGGCCATCCTTTTTGTTGCCAGAACACTTGCTGTGCCGTGGCTTCTGGCACACCGTGCAATTTTTCAGCCTCCGGTTCGACGTTTCCCCGCAGACAATACACTTGAATTCGCTCATGTTGCTCGAGCGATTCAAATTTTGGCGGGTATCAGCGAGGTGGAGCTGTTATGGTCGATCGGCGCAGGCGCGAAGATGCGAAATTTTTGCGCCAAAAATTCGCCAAGAATCGCACGGCCTTCCTTAACCTCTCTCTCCGGTAGCACTTTAAATAACGGGCTCCCTGGTTCCTCCAATGGAACCTAGCAGATCACGCTCCCGGCACGTGGAGCCTGCGGGAGACCGGAATGTCCGCAAAACACACACACCCACAGGAGTGAGACGAGTAGCCGATTCCAGCTGCCAGTTGACGGAGCAAAGCCGCACACCTCCGTACACACCAGAGAGAGAGAGAGAGAGAGAGAGAGAGAGAGAGAAGTCTCTCCTAGTCTCTGGTCTTTCTCTGTCTCTCGGTTCCCACCTCTTCGCTCTCTCTCTTATTTTTCAACTGGCTCTCTCTTCTAGTCTCCGCTAGAGTCGACACATGATTTTGTTCTCGCGGTTGATTTTACAGCGTGGAGAACGGAGTGATTAGCTGGTTGGTCGGTCACGTTCATTGTCTTCATTGTCGTGTCAACGAGCGACTTACACCTTTTTTTCTTTTCACGATTACGTAGCGAAGGTGCTCGAAAGCTTTTTGAGAGAGAGATTATCTTTTTGAGAACGACGAGCAAAAAAGGCAGATAGAGACAAGACAATGGAGAGAGCAGACGCGTTCCAAGTCGCGAGCGAACAGTTTTATTATCACGAACGAAGTGAATAAATTTGTTCTTCGAAATAGTTTCTAGGGAAATTAATTTAAAAACCTAAACTCTTCGCCAATTTCTCTCGACTTGTGTGGCGTCCTATAATCTGGAAGGAACTGTCAATGGATGAGTAAACCAAAAATCTTTTTCTAAAAACACATTTCTCGAGATACATGAATTATACTGAAACTTGTTTTACTTAAAAGATGATAATTTTAACTTCAGATTCTGTAAATGTAAATGTTGCTCTCAGAAATCTAGAAGTCAGGAAAAATAAATAAAAGACTTTCAAAATGGCCCATACCATTTAGAGTGTCATGACTGACTGTATATTCGTAACCAAAGGTAATAATAAGAAATATATCAGTGAGCTTATAAAGCTCTATAAACATCATAATTGGATAATTTTATTACGTATTTGTAATCAAGAGTTAAGGGTTCAATGGATTAAATTATAATAAATTTATTAATTATCTGTAATTAATTTGATTTCTCGTTGTTATAATTTATAGGAATACCATCACGACCAAGTACAGCTGACGTTACTTCAGTTTTGCCAAGATTTTGTTGTAGTCCAGTCCACGTTCTTGACAGAAAAAAGGAGTTTCCGATCCGATTACTAATTACAGATCCTAAATCTTTAAGTAATACAGCTTTATTTTGGCTGGAGAAATTTATAGATTTTGAACTTCTTATTTTACCAGAAGTAAGTGAATAATCTGATTCTTGGGACGATTCGAAAACGATATGATTTATTCCACCAAATAAAAGTTCTTTGAAATCTATTGAATGAAATAATGACAATTTTCTCGCAGTGTTAAAAGCCAGATCTATTTCATATGGTGTCACAATTGGTTTGAAATATCCATGTGTGTCAAGTAAACTACTTTCAGGACAACTAACTAGAACAAAGACATCGATCTGTAACAAAAATAAAACTTCATATAAAACATATATATTTGCTTAAAAATATATTAGGCTATATTCAATCTGCTATAATTCTAATAAAATAGTCGAATCATCCGCACCGTTCAAATGATTTTATTAAAAAAAACATGGTGTCTTATAATATAAGGCTTGACGAAAAATGTCTCTGCGTAAAATTTCAAACTCATAGGTGGTGTCGCGTTCGGGTGACTCTTAAGTTGTCTGAGACTCATAGGTGCACTCTTTAATCTACGCAATCCGAGTTTATTATTTAAGAAAACTTTGTATTATGACGCGCGATAAAATGTAATTAAAAGATCGGTTCTTTTAAAAATGAAGGAATTAACAGATACTATGCTGATATTAGCCCTTTATCATTCATCACTTTTGTCGTGGACGCGATCTACGATAAAAATAGAGGAAAATTAAGAATATTAAAAAAATTTCTTTCTTTATTTTTTAGTCTTTGAATTTTTTTTAATTATTTTTTTCTACACTTAAGACTGAGCTTTGCACGCTTGTAAAGAAAACTATTTTTTCCTCTAGAGTCGGAATTGCTCGAGAAGGGGTTGCGCGGGGTTTTTTAAAAACGTCGAAGGACGATGGTCCCTCGGTTCCTTTCCAAAGTCCTAATAAAGGATAAAGACCGATAAAAATATCAGCTGTTTACTGTCCTTCAAACAAAACAATTACAAAAGAAAACTGGACTGACTTGTTCATCACACTCGGAAATAGCTTTATAGTAGGAGGCGATTATAATACAAAACATCCGTGGTGAGGATCAAGATCATCAACTCCGACATACAGAGGCAGAGTACTCTATAAAATACAACAAAATAATAACTACATTCTGATATCCATTGGAGAACAAAATACTCACCTACAGATATAAGCCACCATAAGTACCAAATTACGTCCACTAAAATAACCCAACAAATCAAAGAAAAAAGATTATTAAGAAAAAGGTATCAAATAATTAGATCGAGTCAAGACAAAACTAAACTAAATAGACGATCCAAAGATCTAAAAAAATGTTACGAGGGTGGGTTAATAAGTCCTTAGAAAAAGATAGACGAACAATTTTTTTGATAAATTTTTTTTATTTTTCAACATAATTTCCTTTTAGGTCGATATAGTTTTTTCAGGCGTTCTTAAAAGTTTTTTACGCTCTCAGAAAAAATAATATTGGAAGTTCCTCAAAATAGCCATTTGTTAATGTTATGATCTTCTCGTTCGAGATGAATCGTTCTCCGGAAAGCCACTTTTTTAGGTTTGGGAATAAAAAAGTCTCTAGGGGCCAAATCTGGTGAATACGGTAGATGGCCTACTAATCGAACTTCAATTCCTTCATTTTAGCCATTGAATAGTCCAGGAAAAATAGGCCGGAAAAGGCCGTTTCGCGGTTTTTCATTTCGGCAGGACGATTATTTTTTGACAGGTAGTGTAAACGACGTACATTAAGATAACAACTATCCATAGTCTGAGAAAGTTGCGGCACATTGTTAAAATGTCCATAAACTAATAAATTTTGTGACTTTTTTCGTTCTTTTCTTTATAACTTTGTTCCGTTAACATTTACAACAAAATAGTTCAACACTTTTTTGTTCGTGAATAAATTATCTACAAAACCATAGGTTGCACGTCAAAAAATATCCATCAGGTAAAAAGTTATTAACTATTAACTTTTGTATTTTGAAAATATTATAAACAATTTTTTTTAGCGTTGTTATAAACATTGTGCCACCGCTTCTCGTTGAATGGTGTCTTTTTGTTATGAGATGATGTGTACGGAATCGCGAATCTGTAAGTTTAATAGTTTACGAGTTATCGTCTTATAAACAAATTACATACTCGTTTATTTTTCGAAGCCCAATTGTTATCCACTAATGAAAAAAAAATTTACGTTATGTCTTTCAATGCCCTCTATCGATTTCCAAAATGATTTATCAATAAAAATCAAAATTGCGACCGTGGGAGCAAAAAAACAAAAGCGACCTTAATTGCAAAATAGATTAATAACATTTTCAGTAACTTTTTTGTAATAATTATTTCGGGTTTGGATAGCAATTCAAATAAACTTCAATTTAAAACAACGATGGCACAGATCCGTTGATAAACAAAAAAGTTACAGGCCGGCAAAGTTTTTGGATTATTGTTTAATAATTTATGCCACTAGTGGAAAAAAAAAATATCGTCATTGGCGGAATACCTCTAGTTTTTAGGGATGAAAATTTCAAGTCTATGGGAAAAAGGTAAACGGCTTAAAAAAATTTTGGGAAAATCAGCCCTCGGCAATAATATTCACGATCTATCGCGCGGCGGCGGAGTGGGGGAAGCCGACGAATACTCGACAGAAAAATTGAGTCTGACCCACAAAATCAGCAGCGCAATTAAAATCGCTATTTTCTCGTTAACTATTCAACATATTTTCATGATTTTTTTTTAAATTTGATACCCCGCGACGAGAGAAATCTATTCCCGCTATATAAAATAAGCAAAAGTTATAAACAATGGCATAAAATTTATTTATAAAAAATGTCATTTTTTTTTCTTCATTATTATTAACAGGAATGAATTTTTATTATATAGGTAAGTAAAATTAAGCATTTTAACATTTTATTGAAAAAACAAATAATCAATACAATTTTTTTCGGTGTAGTATACGCTCGCTTATTATAAATTTGACATTTATACGTCCGCTTATTATAAATTCTAAATATACACGCTCGCTTATTAAACATTAGAAATTTATACTCTCGATTACTGTAAAATCAATTTTTTTTCTTTTTTTTCGAAGGAGGGCTGTCGGATTCGCTGATTTCATCTAAATCGCTTTCAGACTGATAATCAATGTTATCTTGATCAGCAATTGGTGGGGGATAATGCGCTGTATTATACTTCATGCTATCAATATCTTGAACGCATTAGCTAAAAATTTACTTGTAGAATATTTTTGTAATAGCAAAGCGAGTGAGACCGAACGAGAGCGAATGAAAATAATTGAAGAGTGTCTTTAATATGCGTTCAAGATATTGATAGCATGAAGTATAATACAGCGCATTATTCCCCACCAATTGCTGATCAAGATAACATTGATTATCAGTCTGAAAGCGAGTCGGATGAAATCAGCGAATCCGACAGCCCTCCTTCGAAAAAAAAGAAAAAAAAATTGATTTTACAGTAATTGAGTATAAATTTCTAATGTTTAATAAGCGAGCGTGTATATTTAGAATTTATAATAAGCGGACGTATAAATGTCAAATTTATAATAAGCGAGCGTATACTACACCGAAAAAAATTGTATTGATTATTTGTAAATTATATTGATTATTTGTTTTTTCAATAAAATCTTGAAAATAAAATGTTAAAATGCTTAATTTTACTTACCTATATAATAAAAATTCATTCCTGTTAATAATAATGAAGAAAAAAAAATGACATTTTTTTATAAATAAATTTTATGCCATTGTTTATAACTTTTGCTTATTTTATATAGCGGGAATAGATTTCTCTCGTCGCGGGGTATCAAATTAAAAAAAAATGATGAAAATATGTTGAATAGTTAAAGAAAAAATAGCGATTTTAATTGCGCTGCTGATTTTGTGGGTCAGACTCAATTTTTCTGTCGAGTATTCGTCGGCTTCCCCCACTCCGCCGCCGCGCGATAGATCGTGAATATTATTGCCGAGGGCTGATTTTCCCAAATTTTTTTAAGCCGTTTACCTTTTTCCCATAGACTTGAAATTTTCATCCCTTAAAAACTAGAAGTATTCCGCCAATGACGATATTTTTTTTTTTCCACTAGTGGCATAAATTGTTGAACAATAAGCCAAAAACTTTGCCGGCCTGTAACTTTTTTGTTTATCAACGGATCTGTGCCATCGTTGTTTTAAATTGAAGTTTATTTGAATTGCTATCCAAACCCGAAATAATTATTACAAAAAAGTTACTGAAAATGTTATTAATCTATTTTGCAATTAAGGTCGCTTTTGTTTTTTGCTCCCACGGTCGCAATTTTGATTTTTATTGATAAATCATTTTGGAAATCGATAGAGAGCATTGAAAGACATAACGTAAATTTTTTTTTCATTAGTGAATAACAATTGGGCTTCGAAAAATAAACGAGTATGTAATTTGTTTATAAGACGATAACTCGTAAACTATTAAACTTACAGATTCGTGATTCCGTACACATCATCTCATAACAAAAAGACACCATTCAACGAGAAGCGGTGGCACAATGTTTATAACAACGCTAAAAAAAATTGTTTATAATATTTTCAAAATACAAAAGTTAATAGTTAATAACTTTTTACCTGATGGATATTTTTTGACGTGCAACCTATGGTTTTGTAGATAATTTATTCACGAACAAAAAAGTGTTGAACTATTTTGTTGTAAATGTTAACGGAACAAAGTTATAAAGAAAAGAACGAAAAAAGTCACAAAATTTATTAGTTTATGGACATTTTAACAATGTGCCGCAACTTTCTCAGACTATGGATAGTTGTTATCTTAATGTACGTCGTTTACACTACCTGTCAAAAAATAATCGTCCTGCCGAAATGAAAAACCACCTCAAATCCTATTTTTCCTGGACTAGAAACTAAGCAAGTGTGCACTCGTGCATTGTCTTGATGAAACAGAATTTTTTTGTTCAAAGGAGGACGTTTTTACTTTATTTTCTCGCTTAACCGGTTCAATAACGACGCATAATATTCCGGTGATTCCTTGTTCTTTTTTCTAAACAGTCGGTGAAGATAATTTCACGTGCAACCCAAAAAACAGTGGCCATAACGTTGCCGGCCGATTTCCCTGTCTTCGCCTTCTTTGGAGCTGGTCGATCTTACACAATCTACTGTTTTGACTGTTCCTTTGTCTCAGGAGTGTAGTGGTGTATCCTCGTTTCGTCTACAGTTATAAATCGACGCAGAAAGTCGTTCAGATTACGGTGGATGCGCGCCAAGAGGGTCACAGAGGCCACCACTCGACTG